TTTCTACCAGATTATAAGTTATTTGACGGAAAAGTCTTCTTGCTGAATCATTTAATGTCTACTTCAATGATCAGTTAAACTCAAGTTCAGGCCCTCAGTAAAATTATGTACGATGTGAAGTGGGCTCGGTATGGATTCAAAACTAAGTTTAGGATCTACAAGTCTCCATATCTCAATATTCTCATTTGTAGATGATCAGATATACCTACTTCTCTGTGCTGTTGGAAATTTTAAAATTAGGTTAACAGATATAATTTTGAAAAATTAAATGAAAATTTATTTATTCAGCTACTCTTCAAAAAAGGAGTGACAATATGCAAAAGTTAGGTCAAATACAGAGATTCAATTCTATTTTTATTTCAGGTAGATATTAATTTACAATGGAATTTCAAAATCTTTACTGTATTTGTATGAAAATACTAGAGTAAATTCCTTTACCTTTTCTAAGTCTTCAATTTCAGAGCTGAAGTTTTTGCCCTCGTCCATCATTTCCTCTTCTTCAAGAGTTCTTTCATCATCATAGTCATGGACCAACATCTCAGCAGTGGGGTCAAAATCATGATCCTCAGAAGACAAAGACCCAACTGGAATGAAACAAACTGCATTACTCTACATATTCACAGGTTACTTATAAAAGAAAATTTGTGTTCTTCTGCTGGTTCCTTTTAATGTTTATATGTGAACTTTATAAAATGCATTTACTATATCCCTTACAGGTTATAAAGTGAGATCATATAGTTCTGAAAAGGCAGAGTAATTTACAAACACTTTTATAAGGGATGTAGTTCATGAGAACAAGTTATATGGCAGCACAGTAATTTATAATTTAAATGGAGTGGTTTTGAAAAAATGTTCTAATAACAATGGCAAACTTCCTTATGAGTTTGTTTAACATACTTGTTTAAAAACAACAGAAAACTGTCAAAAGAATTATGAGCAAAAAGTTTGACAAGAATCTAATACATACTCAGGCCAAATAATTTGTGAGAAGAGAATACAAATTTTTCCCAAATTCAATTCAAATGAAGGTGCAAAATACAACAGAAATCTTATTTACGGAACAAAAACAAATGTGAAACAGCAGCAGAGCAATTCAGTCTTTAAAAACACTAAATCACTTTTATGTCTAAAATAGTATTTCAAGCTCCTTAACATTAATCAGACAAATGCATCAATTGTCAGAGTATACTTTCTCCAGATTACTAATGAGGTTCTTAAGATTATATAAAGGAAATATAGAAAATCATATCTAAAGTTTTCAGAAGATATAATCCCTCTAAGTTGAATTAACCAATATTAACTCAACTTTGTAATGCTTTTTAAGAGCAAATATGAAGTAAAGAAGATATTCTAAAATCAACTGGCAAAATTACCAAGATTCACAATCCCAAGGTAATGAAACCAAAGCTCTGAAAAATGGGATTTTTAACCATTTGTTTTATTAAAATATCTAATTAAATCAGTGATTCTAAAGAATAAGAAAGGTATAAATACCAGAATCTTGGAAAGGAAAATGGAAATGTGGAAGGAAGCATATTCAACATAAAAAGTTGAATTTCAGTCAAGTTATTTAATATTTAAAATGAGAAAAAAATTAAGGACAGTGAGACCATTACCAATACGATGAGCTAAGCCAAAGATAAACAGGAAAAAAAAAAACACACACACACAGACAAAATTTCAAAGGTTTTGATTCTGAGTTTGAAGAACTCTAATCATTAATCTTAAAAAACACAATTTTGGTGAAACTTTAATTCATTAGGTTTATAGTATAGTATTTTTAATGCTGAAAGATATATTCTGTTCACTTAAAACCAATTAAAGTTTATAAATAGCATGACTTTTAAAGAGAAAAGAAACACATTTATCAAATAACTGAAAAGCAGAATATCCATCAGAAATTTCTTTTTTGAGAAATTTCTGGATACCTCTGCATGCCAGTGTCATAGATGACATAAATAACTTGTAAGGACAAAATTAGGACTCTTTAAGAACAAAGTTCTGCCTTTTGTAACACCACTTAGCATAGCAGGTTTCTCCCTTATGTAGAAGGGCACCCAATATGCACCAGAAATGGATGGTCAGAGGATCTACCTCTGCTTTGTCACTGGCTTTCTGGGACCTTAGGCAAGTCTTTTTAAACTTTCTGGGCCTAGGTCCAGTTTTTCATTTATAAATGCATAGGTTGGCTTAGATGACCTCAAGAGTTTCATGTAATTCTAAAATCTTCTACTTTGGTTAATTGATTAAAAACAGATTATAAGTCTGTTTGAGAACCAAAACCACAGTCTTTTTGCTTTTTATTTAGATTACCACTTCTTAAAAGCAGACAGTGATGCAAAATGGAAAAATTCCATTATCATCCAGATGTTTGGCATCATGTACATAAATACTGTTTTCCTGAACTCAACTAGCTGTAACAAAGAAATGTTTCACTCAAAATTAGAGAAACTTTAAAACAAATTTTAAATGTAAAAATGTAGACAACTATTTTTAAAATAGCCACAAATTTCTTCTACTTGATGTTATTTTATAACAACCTACATAATAATCAAATAAGACCTTAAAGCTAGAATAGATATACTAAGTAATATGCAATGGACAAAGGCAACATGTAATGGAAGAGGTGGAAGCTCATCCAGGTTCTGCTATTAAGTAGGTGACTCTCAGGGTTATTTAAAAGCATTCTCAACAGCAAAGTGAGACTGTGAGAGGGGTAAGAGGCAGCTAAGAGAAGGCCCACCTCAAAAAGTCTATATTACTACTTTTCTGTGCCAAACTTGGAAATTTTTTTTTTTACTAAAACAGCTTTTCCTCTCATTTTCCAACTTTAACATATGTATATATATATCCATTACGTAGAATGGAAATGGGGAATTATGATTAATAGCTAATATAAGCAACCCAGACTTTGATAGAGTGTCATTTTCTCTAAAAAAACCAAAGTTAAAATCTAAAGTTAATTGCTAAGGATAGCAGAAAGTTGATTTGGGTTTAACTGTTTAAAGTTTGGAGAAAAAATAAGATGTGTGAGAAATAAAGACATTACTTACAAAACTCGCAGGGCAAATTTTGGTAGGAAAACCTTTAGCAAGAGACCTCTGAGCCCCAATGCCCTCTAGAACCCATGGAAGAGGTAAGAAAATAGGACAAACCTGGGCTCGAACTTCCAAAAGAAGCCTAGGAGAGAGAAGAAAACGTGCGGTTAGATCGCGCAGCCCGGGTACAAGACAGCGCCGGCAACAGGGCGCAGAAGAGGCGGAGCCCAGCGCTCCTCCGCAGCTGCCAAAAGTACAAGACGTAGCTTAGCTCCAAACGTTCCCGGCCCCTTTCGGGCCCCTCTTGGCTGCCTCGCCTTCCTCCTCAGGTCCCCAGTGTACAAACTCGCAGACCCGGGACGAAACCCGAATTCTAACAGACAACTCCAACCCGCTCCTTTGGAGCTCAGCAAGTTAAAAAGTGGAGAAGCAAAACAGAGCGGTGGACTCACAGCATCGGTCCCTCACCCCCTGTAACTCAGGAGTGCCCCCAAATTCGGCCCGGCTTTCCAGAGCCCCAGACAACCCTTAGCAACATAACACCCTTTCCTAGAAGGGACTTGCCTTTCCGAGCATCCACTTCACCCCCTGGGGCCCAGGAGCTCAACTCCGGGGCGGTCTTCTGCCCCAGAGTGTAGGCAGGCTCACAATCGGACACTCGCCCCCAAACCAAACAGCGAGTCCTCCCACCCCCTATCCTCCCGCCTGCGATCGAAGACACGACCCTTGAGTCCCAAAGATGCCTGGTCTTTCCAGGGTGTTCAGTCCCTTCCCATGTCCGCCAGCGAGCCTCCTCGCTTCAGCTAGAACCAGTCTGGGGGTTCGTGCTGCGCCACCACACTCCCCCCAACACACACAACCCAGTCACTAGTCCGAGGGGGGAGGTGTGGGGGGGGGCACAGCCAGGACAGCTTGGCTAGCCCAGCCTCCCTGCTTCCTACCCAGAGAAGAGTGGGTCTACTGAGAGTCCCTGGAGAGAGGGTCCAGGATCTTAGTCAGCTCTCCACAACCTCCAAGAGCTCCAGCACCTCCAGGTCTGCGGGACAGGGAGTCCCGCTCACCTCCCGCGAAGCAAGGCGGCCGCGCATCTCGCTCGCCTTCGCGTCCAGAGCAAAGTGGAGCGTGAGGCTTCTTCGCGCCGCAGCTGGGATCCAGCGGGCTGGGAGCACAGATCACTCCTCTCGCAGGGTAGTGGCGCAGCCCGCTCCCCGCTTGCAAGACGGCCGCGGAAGGAGGTGGGGGGGTTGGGGGGGGGTCGGCCGGTTTCCACCCACCCCGGCCCTGAGAGGCGGCGCAGAGGCTCCGGCGGCCCGCGTCAGCTGCCCGGGGGCATGGCCCGACGCCGTTCTCCGGCCGAGGCTCGCTGCCGCTGATCTCAGCCTCCCGTCCCGGCCGACGCCCGGCCGGATCCCGGCCGAAGCCTCCGCGGCCTAGTCCCGGAGGGAGACCGCTCCCGCGCCCGCTCCCGCCCCCTGGCCGGCCCCGCCGCAGTCTGTCGCCACCCCGCGGCCCCCGCACCGCCGTGCCTCCCCCTGTGGGGCCGCAAGAAGGGCCCCGGATCTGCCAGGCTGGCTCAGGGTCTGTGGGGAACCGCCAGGCGCCCGCTCAGACCAGCCGCTCCTGCCCGGTTTCCCTGCTCACCTCCGCCATATTGGTACCTTTAGGGCGAACGAGCAGCGCCGAGCCCAGTCCCCGGATGGGGCGCCTGAGCCAATCGCAGCCGCCGCCGCGGTCCGCCCGGCACCCGCCCGGCGGCGGAGG